TGTTTCTCTATATTTATTACATTCACTTGTATGAATATGAACTTGTGATATTTCTGATTGGAAATCTCTTGTTCCTGAATGTACAGAACGTCTTGAAGCTTAGATATATTTATCACCTGCATATTGTTTCTTTTCATTCTAAAAGTAAGCTTAGTTCGTTGATGTTGTGAATTTTAAAGAAGCTTATGCATGTTGATCTTTTGATTTTTAATCAAACGATCAAAACTATCTATACTATCCTAATTATGTGACAGTCTTAAGAAAGCATTATCTACATTCTCTTGATGCTTCTGAGCAAGTTTTCATGGCTTTGTTTTTGAGGCATGTATCATGGGCATTTCTCTACGAACTTTATATTCATACTTCAGGAAAAGGGCATTATTGTCCTAAATAATAAGCGAGTTTTTCTGCTAAGAAGTTCAAGGCACTCTGCGATGTTGGAAGTTTTGCAGAAAACACATTTGGGATATATTGGAAACAAAGGCATTAAACTTCAAATCTGTATTCTAGGTATTTAGGCAGATTTTACCAAACTCCTTTCTTTTAAACTACTGATTATATTATTATCATCATTATTATCATCATCATCATCATCATCATCATCATCATCATCATCATTATTATTATTATTTTGGCACATGATGTCTTCATTATAGTGGAAGAGAAATTTTTAGAAATAAACTCGAAGGGACTTGATAGTCTAGAAAATAATGTTTAAAGATGCAATGGTATCAAAATAATGGAAGAGAAATTTTTAGAAATAAACTCGAAGGGACTTGGTAGTCTAGAAAATAATGTTTAAAGATGTAATTGTATCAAAAGGTAAGAACATGGAACTTAGCATTGAAGCTTCAATATATGAAGTTTAAAAACATTTTGATGATGCACCCCCAATTATGAAAAAGTAAGTGGGTAATGGCACAGTTAAGGTTTATGTATTTATTTCGATTGCAAGGAGCTTTTGCTTCATTTCTATGTGAGTTCAATAAAAAAGAAACCTGAGAAAATTATATTTTGAAGCACATTGTTGTATTCCAAGTTATAATACAGATTGTCTTCCTCGTGTAAATTTGAACTTTTGCTTGATGCCTTTTCCATACAATGTTTTACTTCTCCTCCTTTGTTTCAATTTTTGATTAGCCGTTATGAAATATTGAAATATTATTTCTTTTATACAGGTGTGGAGAAATTTTGTAACACTTTCCCGTCAATCCTTAACAGTCAAGACGCTAAAATTACCTTCGAAAGAACCCGGCCTGTGCATTGCACGGATGAAAAGCTAGTTATATAAGAAATGTGTAACTGGTGATAATATTATCAACAAATCACACGTCGAATTGTGGAATAAGGACCATGCTACACGAACATTGGGGGCTACATAATGGACACGCGGTGCCTCGCCATGGGCCCGAGGTATGCCGAGGCACCGCATGTCCATTATGTAGTCCCCGTTATAGCCCCCAATGTTTGTGTAGCATGGTCCATTCAACATTCAAGATTGACAAAAAAAAAAAAAAAACACATTACGATATCAATTTCTGATCATCCAAGGCAAGAAAATTGATGAGGAAACAAAATTTTGTCAAATAGAAGATCTTGAATTAAATGTGAAATGTTAATCGATTTATCGATAAAATAAAAAATCACATGAATAATCGAACATATTTACTAAAACCCACAAAATTGATAAAAGTAATCACTTGTCAGGATGGACAACGAAAAATCTCAAATGATAAATCTATAATTAAAAAAAAAATCGACAGAAACTTGGAGGCAGAAACAACCCAACCATTGATTGTTGTTGCCCATCATGAGTTTTTTGAAATTAATCTTTGATTTAGGAAATGCATTGATGGAGAAACATGAAAATGGGGAAAATAAAAATAAAAAATGTCAGTTACAAAATGAAGTGGGTGATATATTTTAGGAAATAGTATTTCCCGTTTTTATGTTTTGGTGGTGAGCAGATGGGGCTTGAAACTGTCGGCGAAGTGTGAACAACTGTTAAGCTATCACAATTTATGGCAAAACTCTCTCTCATTTCTTTCAGTAGTAGTTACTCTCCTTCTTGATTACTCAAATACCCATCTATATAGAGAGAGACATCTGGGAAGTGGGTATCAAACTCAAGTCTCACTTCAACACTTCGAAACTGCTAATTGTCATTTTCTTCATTTTTTTATCTTATTGCTTTTGGTTTGGCTGTTACTACTTAGCAGAGATGCAAAGATGTAGCACTGTGAGTATTCTCTTAATTGATTATTATTTCTTCTGACTCCGTAGGATTGTCGATAAATATATATAGATTCAAGAATTGATTAGATACTGAGAAATTGATTGCACAGAAAGTATTAGATTTAGTGCTCAAATGGCTAGGATTCTTGAAAAGCTAGTTGTTTCAATTTCTATTTGGTCAGAAATACGCTAATCGGTAAAAAAATTTAGTATGTGGTATTGTGTGACATAATATGGAAATTATTATAGATATATATTTTATTTTATTTTTACTATGTTCAAACAATAATAGTAAATGCAAGACATTTTTTTTAATTAATATTCAATATTCCTATAGATTTTTTTGGCCCATAACCATTATTAAATGCAAGATATGTTAACTACTGAGATTTAGTAAATAAGAATGGATTGAAAAAATTAGGAATGAAAGTGGTACAATTAAAAAAATTGAAGAATGTGTGCAATAAAACTTAATGAAATTTATAATTGATTGTGCATATTGTTAAAGACACGAAAAGAAGTCTACACGACCCATAAAATTAGAATCTCTAAACTATATTTCTTTGTCTTGATTTATTGACTTATTTATCTATAATTTTCATAATTAATTCTTTTTGCTTAAATATAGAATTCTATATAGAAAATAATTTTCTTTGCTCAATATTTTTTCATAAATAATTTTTTTTATCGAGTCTCTTGTCTAAATAACATAAAATTATATATTTAAGCTAAAAATATTTAAGTGTGTAATCTCATTCGAGTTTTCTAAAAAAAAAAAAAAGAAAAAAAAAAAAGACCATCCATTACAGGGAAAAAAATTAACGCATGTACTCTTTAAAATGCATTAACTTGTAAATAGTATGAAGCTAATAATCTAACTTAAAATTAACAAATAAAAAATTTAATATTAGCCTATAATTTAATAACTAAAATAGAAAATCAAATGACTATTCTTTATTTTCTGTTTCTTTTCTTTAGTGCTGAGAAGGTGCCAATTCAAATACAAAATCAATCTTGTGGTGTCGTGGCATAAAAAATGGGGATATGAACAGTCATACTTTGATGATGAAGATTTTTGCAGTTGGTAATATAAAAAAATATCGGTAAATCTCTTGATCTTATTCATTGTCTATTTATTGTATATGATTCCATATTCAACATCACGTTCTACATCGCCATATTTCATATCATGTGTAATATATGCAATTAGGATTTTATCTTGTTCATTAATACTTGCTCTCATAAAATAAATATGCAGTATTACATTTTACACATCATGATTTTGGGGGGTAGGTTACCAATATTGATTGCATATAACTATTGAATATAAAATCCTGTATAAGATATCAAAATGAACAAGATGTGCATCATATAATGGGTAATATAACTATTTCGGTAAAAAAGTTCATGGGTAATATAACTATTTTTAAAGGTAATGTTATTATCATATGCATCTTCACTTTTGGAGAAATATATTTGAAAGAGAACTTATGCTGTATTTAATGATTATGATTTTATTCACAAGAAGGTTAATCTTTTTTATTCCTCTATCTGATTTGGTACATGTCTTTCATAGAAAATTTTCTTTCTTATGGAATTTAATTGAAGAACATCATGATCGAGCTGATATATTTTTTTCATTTCAGTGTTTTACATTTAATCATGAAATATTATTAACTATATTCTGCAATATACACACTAATTATTGGTCCTAAATTTCACCCCTCTTTCATTTGAAAAATAGCATGTCTTGAAGATGGTTTTGATCGAGTTTAGATTCTATTTCATAGAATTCTTCAAATACTCCTTTGCACTCTATAGTTTAATTCAACGCTCTTAGTGATTAACAGTTTTGTTATATATGAATTCCTTTTTAATCATTAAAAAGTTAATAATTAATATGGGATCTTCTTTAAATAATAACAAATGGCTGATGTTGTTTATTTCTCCTTTAGAAAATTGAAAATTTTGAGAAAGCTGCTCAAAATGTTGGAAGAGGAATTCTTAGTGGACAGGAAAGTGTTAATAAGATCAGTTATGTTGAGATCTTTATCTCATTCTCATACACTTTATGATTTCTTTGTATTCTACCGTGTTGACCATATGAATGTCAACTAGAACGTATTTCGACGTTCTTTTGAACAATCAAAATTGCAGTTTGCTTGATAATTTTACCTATGCTTCCAAAAGGTTATCAGGAGTTCTACTGATTTTGCTCACCCTTGGCCCTCCATCTCTGTATTCGACGATCTTCTGTCCATCTTTCAACACTTACAGGTGCCAATTTTGTTGTAATGTGTTTTCATATTTGTTTTCACGATGAACACGATTACATTTACATTTACTTTCATCAGAAAGTAAATGTAAATTTACACGTGTAAATTTACATTTACTTTCTGATGAAAGTAAATGTAAATGTAAATTTACACGTGTAAATTTACATCGTGTTCATCACGATTTAAAATTAGTGTATGATTTGAACTGAATTTATAAATTATTTTCTACCTAAACGGGGCTTTTTGAAAAAAAAAATCCAAGATGACGCGATTCATTAGTCACAAAATTAAAAGATAATACAATAAAATAAACAAAAACAAAAAAAACTTTATTGATGTGTCTTCATTCATAACTACACTTCGTACGGTGAAAGCATCTTTCACTCTTAGTAACTTTCAGAAAATAAACATTGTGTTCATTTTCTAGGATCAAAATCGAAAGAAAAAGTTCAAGATTTTTAATATAAGAAAAACAAGAATCTTGGTTCAATGACAGTACCCCGGCGGCACAATGGGCAGGTTTGACTGATATCCAACCATGTTTTGATGCATTCGAAGTGAAATCCGTGGTTGCATCCCGGAAGACACCGGAACAATTCTTGGTCTTTGAATTCAGATAGATAGATAGAGCATTCATGATCTTCACCTTCTTGTTCGATGTAAATATCGACGACTATTTCATCCGTCCTCCCTTTTGTCATTTGGGATCGAGTTGAAGTTGGTGATGATGGTGGCGGCGGCGGCGGTTGACGATTTACGACTGGCAGCTCATTTTGTTCCGATTCTGCATATCTATTCTCCCTCTTTTTCAATAGATATTGAATCAATAAAAATATCACAGTCGAGGTGAAAACAAATGGTAAAAGGTACAAAATATCAGGCATCTTCAAGGAAGATGATGAAGAAGGGAGACAGAGAGATCAGAGCAGATAGAAAATTGCAATGAACAGTGGTATTTATATACTAGTTTGTGCAAGTCTATACAATGAAATAAATAGTAATACTTGTTTTCAATCAACGTAAGGATTTTTAGGGAAAATGTCACCACACACTACACATGTAAAAGGTAAGATATTTTTATTAATTATCTTCTGTAATATTAGTTATCGCAATTTTGCGGAGGAAGCCAAAAGGAAATTTTCACAAGAGGGAATAGATTTATATTATACTGTGAATGATAAATTATCATGACATGAGAATGTTAGATTTCTTCAAATACTCCTTTGCACTCTATAGTTTAATTCAACGGTCTTAGTGATTAACGGTTTCGTTATATATGAATTCCTTTTTAATCATTAAAAAGTTAATAATTAATATGGGATCTTCTTTAAATACTAACAAATGGCTGATGTTGTTTATATCTCCTTTAGAAAATTGAAAGTTTTGAGAAAGCTGCTCAAAAGGTTGGAAGAGGAATTCTTAGTGGACAGGAAAGTGCTAATAAGGTCAGTTATGTTGAGATCCTTATCTCATTCTCATACACTTCATGATTTCTTTGTATTCTACCGTGTTGACCATATGAATGTCAACTAGAACGTATTCCGGAGTTCTTTTGAACAATCAAATTTGCAGTTTGCTTGATAATTTTACCTATGCTTCCAAAAGGTTATTAGGAGTTCTACTCATTTTGTTCACGCTTGGCCCTCCATCTCTATATTCAACGATCTTCTCTCCATCTTTTGACACTTACAGGTGCCAATTTTGTTGTAATGTGTTTTCATATTTGTTTTTGCGATGAACACGATTACATTTACATTTACATCGTGTTCATCGTGAAAGTAAATGTAAATGTAATCGTGTTCATCGTGAAAACAAATATGAAAACACATTACAACAAAATTGACACCTGTAAGTGTCAAAAGATTGACTGAAGATCGTTGAATACAGAGATGGAGGGCCAAGCGTGAGCAAAATCAGTAGAATTCCTGATAACCTTTTGGAAGCATAGGTAAAATTATCGAGCAAACTGCAATTTTGATTGTTCAAAAGAATGCCAGAATACATTCTAGATGACATTCATATGGTCAACACGATAGAATACAAAGAAATCATAAATTGTATGAGAATGAGATAAGGATCTCAACATAACTGACCTTATTAGCACTTTCCTGTCCACTAAGAATTCCTTTTCCAACCTTTTGAGCTGCTTTCTCAAAATTTTCAATTTTCTAAAGGAGAAATAAACAACATCAGCCATTTGTTAGTATTTAAAGAAGATCCCACATTAATTATTAACTTTTTAATGATTAAAAAGGAATTTATATATAACGAAACCATTAATCACTAAGAGCGTTGAATTAAACTATAGAGTGCAAAGGAGTATTTGAAGAAATCTAACATTCTCATGTCATGATAATTTATCATTCACATTATAATATAAATCTATTCCCCCTTGTGAAAATTTCCTTTTGGCTTCCTCCACAAAATTGCGATAATACAGAAGATAATTAATAAAAATATCTTACCTTTTACAGGTCTACTGTGCGGCGAGATTTTTCCTAAAAATCCTTACGTTGATTGAAAACGAGTATTACTATTTATTTCCTTGTAGAGACTCGCACAAACTAGTATATAAATACCACTGTGCATTGCAATTTTTTGTCTGCTCTAATCTTTCTGTCTCCCTTCTTCATCGTCTTCCTTAAAGATGCCTGATATTTTGTACCTTTTACCATTTGTTTTCACCTCGACTGTGATATTTTTGTTGATTCAATATCAGCTGAAAAAGAGGGGGAATAGATATGCAGAATCGGAACAAAATGAGCTGCCAGTCGTAAATGGTCAACCGCCGTTGCCGCCACCATCATCACCAACTTCAACTCGATCCCGGATGACAAAAGGGAGGATGGATGAAATAGTCGTCGATATTTACATCGAACAAGAAGGTAGAGATCATGAATGCTCTATCTGTCTATCTGAATTCAAAGACCAAGAATTGTTCAGGTGTCTTCCGGCATGCAACCACGGATTTCACTTCGAATGCATCAAAACATGGTTGGATATTAGTCAAACCTGCCCATTGTGCCGCCGGAGTACTGTCATTGAACCATGATTCTTGTTTTTCTTATATTACAAATCTTGAACTTTTTCTTTCGATTTTGATCCCAGAAAACGAACACAATGTTTAGTTTCTGAAAGTTACTGAGAGTGAGAGATGCTTTCACCGTACGAAGTGCAGTTATGAGTGAAGACACATCATGGGAAAAAAGACTTTATTCTTTGTGTTTAATAAACATACCAATATGGCAATGTATTGTAACTAATATTTTCAGTTGGCTCTATCTTATCAAGAAATTCATCTATGTGAACACAAACTCACTATAACTTTAGTAACATAACAAATTTCACTTCGTTTTTTCAATGGAGATTTTTCATTGATGTTACACTAAAACAGAAGCAAGAAACAATGAAAGGAGAGTGAACCGATTACTTTGATTTTAAATTAGATAGGTATCTAGAATTGTTGATGTCTCTACTTAATTCCTCAAAAAATGCAAGAATTATAGTTAACTACGTTCTAGGACACATCAGTAGGAAAAGTTTATCCAAGACCTACATCTCTATTCTTCAATTTCATTTCAATTTTAATAGCATTCCATTCATGATTTCAATCGCCTACAACTCAATAATGAGAAAATATCAAATATTTTGGGCCAATTCCTTCGTCAAAAGCTTTTCTCCTAGCTTCCAAAACCGAGTGTAACTCATAATTTCATATTTGAATACATGCCCCAGTTTATTTTTACCCCTTAATGCATTTCTGTGAATGTTAAAGGTTCATGTGTCAGAAGTATGGTAAGAATTTAAAATAAAAAGGGAAAAATAAATAAATTATCAATAGTAAAAAGCTTTAAACGATTCCATAACAATGATTCAATTTTCACATTCCAAATAAACAGTAGAGATTAAAGATGAAAATAACAAAAAACTCAATCGAAGTTTGTAAACCCTAAACAGAGTGATAACATTATGCATCACTGGTGAATGACTTATCACCAGAAATCCAATAAAACATACTAACCCTTATTAAGAAGTACATTCCGTCCATGATAAGCGTCGACTTTTT